TCTTCTTAAAAGTCTACAAAGAAAATATTTTTCTCTGTTCTTACATTTTTATTATTCAATTTTAAATTTTATTTAATTTTTAATATAATGAGTAATTTACGACTAAAAAAAAGAAGAGTTGAAAAATATCGGTTGCACGCTCTTGAAATTGCGAATAATATTCTAATATTTTTAAAGTTTTGATTTAATAATTCTTAAATATTTATGAGATTATAACTTGCAAAATATAGAATATAGTTACTATGCTGAGACATTAGTTCTTTTGTATCCTGTGTAACATTTTGCTTTTTGAAATTTTATTTTGTTTGTTATAAAAATTTTCCGAATAAATTTGGGAATTTACAATAATGGATAATTTTATAAAATTTTTCTATACATTCAATGTAACGTGTATAACTTTTAAGGAACCACATTTTATTGAGCATCAATACCCTTGCAGAATTGATCTTGCAGAAAACAGAGCAGAAAAAAGAAATTCTTTCAAAATTATTTATGTATTTACAACTTAATAAAGCTATTATTAATAATTGATGACAAATATTAAGAAAAATATAAAAAAATTTGAAAGAATTTGATATTAAAAGTATTTTAGCTGCGTTAAACAAGATTAAGACGCACTGAGGAACTGCGCACTGAGTTTAGTTTAAGAACTGTAATCTTAAATTTTAATATTAAAAAAATATTTTTGGTTGCTTTTTCTCCTCAATTACTTAATTATTACACTATTATATAATTGAAAAAAAAAAAGAATTAGCTGAAAAACGGAATTTTGTTAATTTTAGATGCGCTGCTAATTCATAATAAAAAAAAATAAAATTGGGTCAAACCAATGGTTTTTAAAGTAGCACTTTTTCCTTTAATAAGTAAAAATACTGCTTTTAAAAATAATCTGTGCACTACATTATTAAAATTACATACTTTCATTCATATATGAATATGAATATATTAAAAAGAATTCATACATTTAGCATAAGATATGTATAAAATTTTTGAAAAAATACAAAAGAAAATTTAAAGAGACGTTAACATAATGCTCAAATTTAGGAGTTAATTGCGTGAGTTAATAAAAATGATTATTTTTTTAATCACATGGCATGAATTGAGATGGGGTAGAGGTGGCAAAAATTTTCTTCTAACAAAATTAATAATTTATAAGTATCTATAACAACTGCCAATCTCAGACTCCAACAACTTGAGGTCTAGAAGAAAAACGATATCAAAAATTTGACAAAAAAACGTGGTTACCATTACCCATTTACGAGTAATGGTAAATTTGTTTTTTTAAAGTTCAAATATGGTAAGCCGCTGTAAAAGAAGCCACCCATTACTTTTTTGGGTTTGCAGAATTTAATTTTTTTTTCTAGTTTTTCTACAATAATTACTTAAAAAATAACTTTTTTAGGACTTTTAGGAGCAATAACTTTTAGAGGGAGGGGAGAGGGGAAATAAATTTTTAGTAAAGATCTATATGTATGTTTCAGCTTTCTATCTTCAAAGGTGTAGATGTTTTGTAAACATCTCCACGGACGGACGTACAGAATGAAACTAATAAGAACTTTTTTTCAAAATTATTTTGGAAAAGTGTTAAAAAGGAGGTAGAAAAAATGTTTATTCTAATAAAAATGAGAAAGTCTTCACTGGTATAACCAATTAACATTTTAAATACTACGGGGCGGGACGGTGCGTTTAGTACTAGTAAAATTATTTGAAAAATTTAACACAACGATTAAGAATAAGAGTTAATTTAAGAAGACTACTTTAATTGGACTAGATTTTTTGAATTTGAGTTTGAAAACAAGGTAGTTAGGTACGTGAATTTAAAGTTCGATTATATATATGTATCAAAATGACAATTTATACTTGATTATATGTGCAAAAGCTTGTATGGTTTTTGGTTCGATCTGCTAAGAACTTAGTTTTGCTTGAATTGGGTTCGGAACTTATTTTTGCTTGGATAAATGATAACAAAACAAAGTTCAATTTTCAATTTCAAAATAGATGGTAACACAACAAAGTTTTTGGTAATATAAAAATTTATTAGATCACAATAATTATTTATCGTAAAATTGTTTCATGGGATAATTTTTAAGTTATAAGATCCATATGAAAAAATTTAATTTTACTTTTCAATTTTTATAAAATAAAAATAATTATGACTAACTATATATTATGTAGCTATGTAATTGATGTTTCATCAGGAAACATAAAATTAAAACAAAAAAATAAACAAAAATTAATAAAATTAAACAAAAGTCCAGACCAGGGATGGGGAACCTTTTCTCTATATAAGGCCAAATTTTAGTCAATGCAAAGTCAATCAGGCCGCAAAGTTTAAAAAAAGTCCAAAGGTTATAAATTTTTGCTTTGTGTAGGTTGATGAAAACAAAATTATGTCAGAATATAAAAAATAACATAAAACAGTTTATTTCATAAATAAAAATAGATAAGTAAGTATGTACATTATTAATAAAATAATATGGTTCATTATTTCAATGACTTTTCTGTGATTGTTTGTTGCTCGATAACAATTTTATATTTGGTTCCAGCCTCGTTTGGCAGCAAAATTTTAACTTTTAAGAAATATAAGAAATAAATTTTTTTAAGGACAAAGGCCACTAAAAAACAGTTAAAAGGCCGCATGCGGCCTTAAGGCCGCAGGTTCCCCATGCCTGGTCCAGACGGATCTTAAACATAATTTTCATCTATTATACATAAACATACAACGCATACAATATACTACACAAACACGCATGCAAATATTACTTTTAATCATCATATTCATCTCTTCAAAACTCTTATTTTCTACTCCACATTTTTGCTTTTGTCCAATCAATCTATCATTTATTAAACAACACTCAACTATTTAACCTTAAAATCTTACCTATTCCATTATTCATTTGTATTGCACATACAAAAAACAAAATAATATAATTTATTTATATAGGTTAGATATGTTTCTACATACATGCTTATGTACATACGTAATAATAATGATAATACTGCACATCTTATATGCTTAAGATATTTCGAATCTAATATAAAAATTATTTAAGAAACTTAAGGAAATTACAATACATTGGTTACATACTTTTGTATGTTGGTTATTTATTTTATGTACTCACGTGTGTATATATGTAAGTATTTAAAATATAAATTTATTTCATATGTACATACCCACTTCATTTATAACAGATACATATATCATACAGTAGCCTATAATAATGATGTTAAACTAATGTTTTAACAAAGCATATAAAATTCATTTATTTCACCTGTAATGAGGAACCTATTATAAAAGGACAACAAAACAGAATCGTTTTAACTACCTAAATAAAAATTTTACAAAAGAAAACAAATAAAAACCGAAGCACAATGCCATCGCGTCGTACCGTAAGGCCAATAATTAATATGTTTATTGAAAAAGAAAAATATAAAATAGAAAAAATAAAAAAGAAAAAAATGAATTTCATACAAATTGTTACCATTTCAGAAAATAGTTTATTGTCGCACATCTTCAACATTAACATTGCTTCCAATGGTTTATTAAAAGTTTACAATTTAATTTTTTAATTTGAAATGATTTTTACGAGAATGTTTTGACCGTCAATATTCCAAAAACGAATGAATTCTCTGTGGGTTTTCTTTGAATTTTCTTCTGTTTACTTCAGTGATTCCCAAAATGGTCTATATAGACCCCCAAGGGTCCATGAAGGTCTATCCAGGGGTCTATCAAATGAAAATGGGAGTCTTCGAAAAGCAAGATTGAATTTATTTTTTGTTTAGTTTTGTTTTTTAAATAAATTTTTTATTTAACTTTCTCATATCATAGGTGTAACTTGCTACAGTTAGAAATTTAAGTCTATCATAGAAAGTAGCAAGGGGTTTATCAAAAATTGAAAAACACGACAAGGGGTCTACGGGAGAGAAAAGTTTGGAGAACTCTGGTTTAATTGAAATTTATAATAAAGCATAAGTGTCCATAGAATGGAAATTTTAAGAATTCGACAAATAAGTATGCCAAATTTTGTTCGATACAAACAAAATTTTTCATCTTCATTTTTTGTTTTCCATCTCAAGTGTTTTCTAAGCTCAAAAATCATATCAATTTGGATTAGAATTAATTTCTGAAACATATTTTGATGACTGCTTATTTAAATTTTGCAATGGAATGCAAAAATAAAGAAAAAAATGTGTCAATCGGTAAGGTGATCAATTTATTTTACTCTTTCTATTTTTCTTTTGCACAAAAATTTATAAAACAAAAATTTTTGCATCTGCGATGGCTTAAATGATAACAAGATATTAAGAAAAAAAGTTTTGAATTCGCCTACAACATTATTAGAAAGGAAAAGTAATGAAATTCATAACCCCAAGAGTTCATAAAAAATATAAGGCGTTTATAACATACATACGTAAATATGTGCATACAAGCTTATACATCTAGAAACACAATTATACTAAACATTTAAAGGTTTCTTTTCATTAAATTTTTTACCTACATACATACAATACATAATGTACTATTTATTGTGTAAGTTATAAGAATTCATTCACATGTTTGCTTTGTAATTTTTTTACGCAACTTATTGGCAAAGAAGTTCAAATTTCCTATTTTTTATAAACCTACATTGAACTATGGTTTTCAAAATAATGTCAGAACAAATGTATGAATGTGTACATACTAATGTGAAAGTTGTGTTATGAAATGATTTCTCAAAAATAAGTTCTCCCAACCTTTAATTTCATAAGTTTTAGAGATATAAGCTTTTAAAAAAATTTCAATTTTCTCTTTGGAGGTCCTTATCGTCATAAATGTCCCTCAAGGTCTTTGTACATATGTCCATCAAGCACTTTTCGACCAGAGGTGATGGAAAAAAAATTTCTTGTCTTTTTGAAGGATATTGCTTTATTAAGTATGAAGGCATTATCTGGAATTAAGTTCAAATTTAAATTATAGATTTTCTTTAGCTTCGCAATTAAAGAAAATAAAAATAACTGAATATTGTTTATTGGATTTTATTATTGCTCATGTTTGTAATAAATTAAATGCCATAATAAATAAGAAACTTTTAGCGTAGCAGTGAAATACTTTGTGTCTTAAGTATATATAAAAAAAATCAATTCAGAGTAAAGGATTTACCAATTAGGAAACTTTTGTCGTTTTTTTTTTCTAAATATTTCAATATTTATGTATTAAGCAGCAAATTGTAATTTTCTTAACACCATGAATTGATCTAGTACATCATCTGTAACTTCTTTTCTACGTTTTTGATGCTCTTCCACGACAGGCGTTAAAATTTCAATGGCTAATTTTTTTATTTCACCAGTTAACATTTCACCTTTTGAATATGCTAATCTCGTTTGTTCTAATTTTTCGTCATCTTCTAAGAAAAATTTTAAAAGTTGATAAGCTACATCAACATCAGGATTTCCTCCTTGAGATCTATGTTCTTCTACTGTAGCTTTACCTCCAGAAAATGCATATTTATTGATCTTAAAGATTTAAAAGAAATTGAAATAATCATTAAAATTACAATCAATTAATAAGTAGTAAAATTACCTACCTTATTTTTTATTTGTTTTGGAGTATCAGTCAGGAATATTGCTGAATTTTGATCACTAGCAGACATTTTTGATTTTGCTCCTTGCAAAGCCGGAAAAAAGGCTGAATGGATTAAAGCTGGTTTTGGGAAGCCTAAACGTGGTGCACAATCTCTAGTCATTCTAAAATACGGATCCTGGTCTATAGCGCATGGAATGAGAACATGAACCTTCTTATTCCCAAAAATGAAAGGGAATGTAGTAGAAAATGCGGGCGCGGCTTGAGCAGCAGGAAAACCAATTTTTCCTATAACATCTGAATCTCCAAAACCAAAAATACCTTTAACTTGATTAAAGGTTACACATTTTTGAATTCGTATTATGTTTTGATACATTTCCGGACATTTTCTAGTTATAAATAAATGTTTAATCACTTTTTTGAATATTTCATAAAAACAAAAATGTATGAATCCTATCTTATACATGAATATGTGTTTCTTATCATATTTAAACAATTTGCTAATTAGAAACGTACCCCATGAAGTCCAAATTAGAAAAAATGAAAGTTTTGTTTAAATCAAATCCCATTGCAATTATATCTTTAGCATTTTCACGAGCTAATTTCATAGCAGCTTCTATTTTCAAATCTTTCCACAAAACTTTTTCATCATCCGTTAACTGGATAACAAGAGGAACGTCGAATGTTTCTTGTAACCATCTAAGATATTACATAAACATAAATACATTAAAATAAAATAAACATAAAATGTCTTTTATAAAAAAAATTACATACTTTGTCATAATGAAAGGAATTAAATGACCCAAATGCAAAGAATCTGATGAGGGACCACGTCCAGTGTATAAGTAAAATGGTTTACCTTGTTCCTTCAATGTGAGAATTGTGTGCATATCTCGATGAGAAAAAAATATGCCACGTCTGATCAGATAATGGGCTTTCTTTCCCGTAATTTTTTCAAAACGCTCTATTAGTTCATTATCAATTTTAGACGACCCAAAGCGCTCTTAAAGTTTCAAAAATTTCAATAAGATTAATGAGATTACACAATAATATCAAATTTTACTTATCAATTTGTCATAATCTACACCAGTATCATTTTGGCTTGTTACATTCCACGGATCTACAAAATCGTCATCCTTTTCATTGTCATTTAAAGTCATGGCATCAACACCTTCAACCACTATATTATCTACCTCAGCCATTTAAGAATATACTTTTTTTATTATGATCTATTCTAAGAAGTAATCTGTGTAAATGAGGCAAAAGCACGTTACACTATTTACTTGCACTTTTATTGTACCTATCACAAGTAAATACCTATGCTACCGTCATTGTAAACACAGGTAGGTAGATATACATATCAAGGTTCTGGCTGTCAAAATTGTTTTCAAAATCGATTCTAATTTAATGCATTTACTTTTTGTAAATAAATAGAGTGCGGCCAAAATGAGTAAATATCGATTTATAAATTCCTTTATAAGAGTAAATTTAAATTGTCCTCTACATATGGTTGTGGATTAATTCTAATATTTTTTATGTGCAACAAGTCTTTCCACGAAATAAAAATATCGCGAAAAAATCAAAAAATATCGTTCAAAAACACGAAAACGTCAGCACTTAACCTAATGAATCTTATCCTGTAACTATTAGAATATTTAGTAAATTATCTTGTGAAACAAAAAATTTAGCAAACGCGACATTATTTAATAACGAAGCTATGGAATATATATAAAAATAAACAATATCGAATCTTTTACATTGTTTACATAATATATATAACACGTTATTAAAAATCCCCCAAAATTTAACCAAACAATTAGCAAGGGTCCCAAAACAAAAATTAAAACAAATGTTTCGCAGAGTAATCATCAGGCATTAAGCCGCATGACTAAACTTCTGTATAAATAAACTTTTGTAAATCAAAAGTTTGTTTATCTATCTTTTTAATTTTCTTCTCAGAATAGTACTTATGCAATAACATTCTATATTGCTACAATATTTACTCCGTTCCATTTCCCTATGCAATATTTTCAGTAATTAATGCTATTATTTAATTTTATTTTGTTAATTATAACTATTTATGAGAATCAATAATATGATTGCCACTTATTCCATTACTTTCTCACGAGTTTTGAACAAATAACCATGGTGGTGACATATTTTCTTTTTGAAAAGTAAACGATGTTAATAGAAAATTTGTTGAACCAAAAAATATTTTTTTTCAATCAGAGACAATCGATCAGAGAAATTAGTTGAATGAATCTTTTATTTATTTTCCATTTTGTTTTTGTTTATTGATTTTGACACTTATGTCAATTATTTGAAATTTATTTAAAATATCCTAAATTTTTTTCTCTTCTTTTATAAATGAAAAGTGATTTGTAATCGTAAAAATGAATTTTAATTATAATATTTGAATTTATTTTATACATAAAAACCAAAAAAATTTATTTATTTACCTACCTTCAATGAGAAAAATAGTTTTAGAAGCCGTAATAAGTGAAAACCAAGAAAAAGAATTCAAAATGTTTAAAAATTCACATATAAGAAATTAAACAATTTTATTAATTACAGCTTTATAATATGAAACCGTTATGCCCAAGTACATATTTAAGAGTACAAATTATTAATTTGTAATGAGCAGCAATAATTCTTCCGAAAGTGAGCCCTGTAATCGAGATAGGTCTACCTACAGAAAAAGATTCTAATAAAAAAATGAAAGTTATAATTTACAATCCACAACAAGTAAAAAGGAGAATTAGAAGAACAGTTCTTCTATTAAAAGAGAAGAAAAATGAGCACTTCTTGAATTAATGAAAGGACAACTAAATTTGGAGAAAACTTAACGAAATACAAAATTAGAAAAATCGAAATATGATAAAAATAGGCGTAAGTTGGTTTTGCTCGTAAAAAAAAAAGACCCAATTTGCCATAAAAATAATAAATCCCATTATAATCACATAGCTATAAAAGCTGTTTCAAAAAGAATTGCAAATGAAATGAAGCTTTAAGGTAAAAGCACTTTTATAATTAATGTTTAAATCATTAGTTTTTTTAAATACTATAATTTTTTAAGGAATTCAATGTAAGATAATTTGAGAGATCATTAAAGATTCTTTTGCTAAAGGAAAAGGATTGCAACAAGAAACATATCTGAGAATTTCAATAATTTTTTCAATGGTGAAAATAACGAATAGCCAATTAAAAAATTTAAAAAATGGAGTGACACCATGCCAGCTTTATTTCAAATAATCTTGTTTGTATTTTCTTGTTATCTAAACTGTTTTTTTTATTTATTAGCTTATTTTGGCAGGATAATGAAGGTGAAGATATTGAAATAGTTGAGTCACTTTTAGAGAATTAGTTAAGTCTGAATGTCAGTAATTGCTGAAATAGTTAATATACCAACAAATAACATTACAAGCAAATATATTAAATATTTACGTAGCAGAATAAATGGTATTTATAATTTAATTTACATATTTAATGACTCATTTAGGTTTGAATTTTAAGAAAGATTTAACTGAGATGAGATCAATATTGCGAAATTGAAAGTAAAGTTACTTTACAATAGTATGCATATAGGCCAATTGATTAAGCTGACCTTAAGTATCCAGTAGACACCAGAGTTGTGTACCCCTTTAGGCTGGGAGGAAACTTGCACATTTTTCATAAAATCAAATAAAAATTTCTGAAAATGTTAATTTCAAAATAAATAACAAAAATCTCAACTTCGGTCTTTAATTTTTTTTTAACAGTAAATGCACTCATTTAATCACTAGGATTTAGATAGGCATATAATTAATACAATAATTTCTGTTTTGAAGTACAATTACAAATTATGTGTATATGTAATTATAAGACACCAAACAAGAAAAAAATAATCATATCCCACTCGAAGGTTACGTATGTATATCGTTTGTCAAATAGCGAGAATCGAATGCGAATAATTTTGACATTTATATGACAAGTATTAAGTTTACAAGTTTGGTTGAAGAATAATCAATTTAAAATATCCTGAAATTGAAATATTAACCAAAGAATGGCTACTGATGTTTTGATTAAATCTTTCGACTCTTTGCAAGAAGATTTAAATAGGGCTAAAAGTAATCTGAAAGGTTTAAACGAGAATATTCGCAGGATAATAGGACGGGAACCTGCAGAAGAAAATTCTAGGTTAGATAATTGAGGCTTTAATCCATAGTAGGAATAGTTTGGGCATCAAGCTTATAATTTTTGATTTTTGTTTTTAGAAATGAACGTAATACGGTGAGGAAACGCAATTTCCCTGAAGTTAATAGAAGAATTGGTAATGTGGAAGTAGAGAGGCCAAGAAATAGAGATTTAAGTCCTCCTGTCAAAATTCGAAGGTCCATAGATGGGAAATCAGTGTTCAGTCGTTTGTCTGGTCATGCATTTCACGATGAAGATAATAACACATTTAAGCCAAGACTATATTCACGTGTCATTAAAGAACTTCCAACTCGCGAAGAAATCGTTGAAGCACAATGTATGGATGAAGAATCACGAGCGAGAAATCGTCGCATGTTTGGTTGTTTATTAGGAACATTGCAAAAATTTTGCCAGGAAGAATCCCGTTTAAAACCAAAAGAAGAAAAGAAAGCAATGGTTGAAAAAAAACTAGAGGAACAAGAAAGAAAAGAGCGTGAAGTTTTGCGAAAAGAACGCCAAATTTTATTTATAGATAGAAAACGGCAACAGCTCGAAATTCGTAAATTAGAATCGAAAATGATTTTAGTTGAAGAATTTCAAATATGGGAAAAAGCAAAACGAAGTTTAATGAGTCACATTAGAACGAAAACAAAACCACCAATATATTTCAAACCTAAAATACTAAATGATAAATCAAAGAAACTATTAAATGAATGCCAATCTGATTTAGAAAAGGAAATTGAAAAGAAAAAAGCGAAATTGAATGAAGAAATTTTACTACTAGATGATCGTTATAGACTAAGAGACGATGAAATTCAATTTATGAAGAGTACTGAAGAAGGTAAGAAGTTACTGGATGGTACAGAAACAAGGTACTATCAGAGATCAGGAGATAAAACTGACTCAAGTGATGAAGATGAATATGATAGTACTTACGAAAGCGATGGGCGCGAAATTGGTTTTGTTAGCAGTGATAGGAAATATTCTAGAAGCGTTGGTAAGTGAAAAGAAAACTAGCAAAAAAATATTCTTATTAATCGATTAAATTTTTATAATTAATTTTAGTTGTTGTTCAAAATAATTATAACAAAAAAAACAATAATTCATATTCAAATAATGAACATCACTATAATAATAATTGTTCAATGGGCAGTGAAAGATCTGAAAATGATGGTCATCTTGAAAATATAGTTAAGGAAGAAAAAGATAATGATACTGATGATGTAAAAATAGAAAATAATACATCAAAAGAAGGCAATATAGGTTACAAAAAAAATGATATTGGATTTAACAATAAAAATAATACTTCTAATTCAATTAAAATAAAAAGGGAGAAAGATCAAAAAAGTGATTGATGAAAACCGTTTAGCTTGAAAGGAGAATATAAATTTAATATTTAAACTTTGATATCGGATTATAAGCTTATCATTTTTCTTTTTTGTTTGTTTTATCTCGTTTTATAAAAAGTTATAAAAATTGGAACTATTATTTCTGCAACGAAGAATTATTTGACCTTGTGATTGATTCCTGAATATAAAATTTGTACTACTTCTCTTCTTTTTAGTTTTGAAACAAATTCCAATATTAATATAATATTATTTCTTTGTATCAAAAAATCGAAATACAAATTCATTATAAAATAAAAGTTATAACTTTATTTAAATTTTAATACATAAACCATTATCCGATAGAAAAACTATGTTTTCTAGATTTACTTTTTAAAAAAAATCATACAAATCCGTATTTTTTGTATATTTTATATTTAAATAACTGTAAATGATGATTATTAGACAATACTGAACAAATTCTTTAGACAACATGCTATATAATACGTAATATTTAGACAACTTAATATTTAGACAACATGCTATATAATACGTACCCACTATTACTCTGTTCATATTCCTCAACGCCATTTACCTCTAGTTAATTACTAATTATATAATTTTACTAATTATATAATTAATTATTTATTTTAATAATCCTCTAGACAATTTTAACTATTAATTGTTTGGTAAAAAACAAAAATATTTTGTTGCGAAATAAAAGATTTTTATTTATTGCAAAATTTTATATAAATTTATTATATATTTTAATACAAGTACATATTTTATTGCATACTTATTTAAAAAAAAAACTTATGTATGTGAAAGATATAGCAAAAGATTTTTGTCATAGCCATAGTCTTTATATTTTTTAATGAAGTCTTTATTATGTAGTTGTTAAGCCCCAGCTTTTCTTAAATTAGAAAGAAACTAAATTAAAAAATTTTTATTAAGGTACTTTTTCTAATTAGAAAAATCAAAAATTGTTTAATCAATTTATTTTACTAATTTTATTTTAGTGATTGGGCCATAATAATTTTTACAATGAATTTGTTAAGCTATTTCATAATATGATCTCTGTTGCAATTTATTTTCCCAGTTATTGAAGCAACTTGTACTTTATAAGCTACATAGGTATTTAATTAAATCTGCTTACGTTTATAAAATTCTTATACACAAATAGAAAAATTTTACATTATAATCTTGTTAAATCAAGTATCAGGTACAGTACTATATACATATTTAAAATTTATTAAATCTTGGAAAAGCTTTACTTACTTATATCGACTTGAAGCTGGTTAATTAGTTAGAATCGTTTTTCAAATTAAAGAGCGATTCTGAACATTCAGGGTCATATAATGGCAATTGTTTTATGGGCATAAAAAATTTTATTTATTTTTATAGAATCATAATAATTAAAACTCTAATTACATATCTACCTAGTAGAATAAGTAAGAAATGTGTTTTCGTTGTTAATTTAATATAACTAGTTTAAAACACTATTCTAAAAAACAAATCTTTGGTAAACTTTTGTGATAATGACGAAATGACTAAATTGAAGGAATCTATTTTTCCGTTAACATGTTAAAATTTTACACGGTATGTAGGCTATTTTAGATCTTACTTTTTCATAATTTCACAAATTTAACATTTACTTAAAATTACACATACTTACCCATCCTAAATACAAAGTAAATGCGAAAAAAATAAAGGATACAGATTTATATTATTAATTGCTTTAAAATACTTATCGTACCTATATCATTCCTAATTAGTAATATTAATTTTGTGTCTTGTGGTCAATATTTATAATTATAAGAATTTTCTTTCCTTTCGTATAGCTATTTTCGTGCCCCCAAGAATAGTAGAATATTAATTTTTCTTTGAATTTAACTACAATCTTGACCTACTTTTTTGATTACAGAAGTTTAACAGGACAAGCCCTTGAATATGTACACATGCATTTGTATATGTACATATATACATAATGTATGCATAATATTATTCATGTTTTAAAAATAATTCAAAAATAAATAGTACACTATTCTATAAAGTCGGATAATTAAAAAATGTTCCTGTACTTAGCTTTTATTTACCAAAGGTTTATTATATAGTCAGGTGCTATACAACCTAACTACTATATAGTCAACTGTATTAGTAATTACAATTCTAACTACTTGCTGGTATTTAGATACACACTCATAATGTGTGTATATATTAAAGTATATAATATTTTAATTTCGATTAATTTTATAATTAAAAAAAAATTATTATTTCTTTGCTACCGCATAAAAGTATCAGTTTTCATTTTTTTTTTTTTATTCTTTACAAATAATAGTGTCTATATTATGATATGTAATATCGGTAGGTACATATATATTATTTTTATTACTATACATTCATAGATTATATTATTATAAACTACCAAAGTTAATGTGCATTAGATAAATAACTGTGTTTGTGTGTAGTTCGGAAAAACAAAACGTTTGAAATATCAAACCAAGTGTTTTGTATATTCGAAAATATACATGTATGTATGTATGTACTTAATTATGGATATTATGACTGCAGTGTAAATATTTAACAAAATCTCAATCATCATTTTAATTGTGGAAAAGCATAAAAAATTTATTTTATTTTACTTTTCTTATCTAATTTTTTTTTGTTTATTCTATTAAATAATTTTCTAAGATAACAGGCATTCTTTAGATGTATGCATATCTAGTAACCATATATGAAATGGGTATGTATAATTAATATCAAATATAAAATTATTATTTTTTATAAAATTATAGGAACTTTATTGCAATTAACAAAATTCCTCAATTATTTTCAATATTAGATAAATAAAAAATTCGCATGTGTACAAATATGTATTTATGTTTTTAATATGAATACCGACTAATTAATATTATGATAACTGTTTACTGTTATAAGGACAAATTATGTACATACATTGGTTCATCCCCTCATAACCTAAAGTACTGTATGTATGTATATATAAATTGTATGTATTATTTCAATGTAAAATAAATACATACGTACATATAACACAATAGTTGACACATCCATACCTATTATGAAATAATTTTGTATCGTCCTTCCTCTTTATAATTATAATAAACGCTTTTAATAAAATTATTTGAATAAAGGTGAAAAATTCATCCAGAATATAGGTAGGGAGCTACATAAGTATATAATTACAAAATAAACATATTTGAATTAATTGCAAAAATTATAAGTAATAAATAAATGAAACTTTTCAAATTTAAGGTGTATTTTTTTTTCTCAAATCAAAAATCTAATTTGAGCTTTTCAATTGATTATTTCAAGAACCGAAAAAAATAACTTCATACATATTTGTATGTATGTATGTATATATTTATATCTTTAAATAAAGTACCTACTTCTTTAATAGGTTCCTACCTACTTGTATACCTACATACATTAAAAGAACCAAACAGGTATTTGATTTTATTAATCAAATTTGTTTACACTTATTGTTACGAGTGCTATCTTAAAATAAATAGTGTATTTATGTGTATTTAGAATAGGTAGGCATATGTCCAGCTGCATGTAGGTAGAGAGAGCTATTTTATTGGTTTTTCATTTGTTTTCACCCCCAAATAATTAAATATTTGGATTTTGATAATATTTGATGTTTTAATATTAACTATTAATAAAATAATAGTTTATTTAAAGTAAACTAGATGATTGTGAAATTTACAAAATGACTGATTATCGAAATTTTTCTAAATTCTTTGAAATTTTCTTACAAAAACAAAGTACTTAGATGATAATGGAATATGTACCTATAATGATGTAATATTACTTTTATTAATTGAATACCAAATAAATATTATGAATGTGGACACATAATTATTGATTCTTATATTGTATTTAAAAACAATATGCTCCCTATGTAATTTGTATATGAGTAAGTAAACAATGACCAGCACATTGTTGAATGATTATGTCATAATAAAAGAACTAAAACAAAAAAAATGAAAAAGAAAAAACATGTTTTTCCCTTAATAATCATTGGCATATTCTGGCAATCATTCTTTCTTTACTTAAATGACCTCCAAATATTTTCTTATAGCATTTGATTCCATTATGCTTTATGCTTCTACATAAAACTAATTAATACATCAAAAAATCCTATATTTAAAAAAAAACCGCCATAAATGCGTCATCAAATGTTAGTAATTTACTTACCTATACCGTGATGAATTTATTAAAACGGGTTTTATTTTTTAAAATAGATACTTACATATTAAATGTAGTTGTAGTGCTTTTCATATTAAATGGATTGCTATTTTTAATAAAATCGATGACTAATATCCCTACCACAAGTAATACAAACAATAATCAAAATATTATACTGTAGTATTTCATGTATTATAAAAATTCGAAATTCGTCACGATATTAAAAAAACCTTTTTGCATTTGCCCCATTTTTCTATGTGTATTAATTAAAAAAACACTTATTTTCGAGGAATAGAAATATTCTCTTTTTTTTATTAATATTTAGCTTTAAACATTTAACTTTTTACTCTATAATCAGCAAAATAATCTTTAAAAAAATTTATAAACTAAAATATTTTTTTTAACTTTACTTTAGGATTCTTTTTCCTTATTCACTTTAAAAGCGACACAGTTAACAAAAAAAAAAAAAAATGGTTATTTACGTGCGATATTGTTTAAAAATTATGCTGTGTGTTTTTCGAAATGCTGTTTAAGATTTTCAGCATTAGCACCAGAAAATCTATCAATTTCTTTTGAATCTTTGAAGAACACAAATGTTGGCATGCTGGAAATTTGATTATCAGCAGCAACTTCTTCACATTCATCAACATCAACTTTTAATACAACGGCCTGCAATTTAGATTACATAATATTTAGTATTTTTCTTTTATAAAAAAACTTGTTTCGTATATTCAATATTAAAAATTTAAATTATTCTTACCTTGCCAGCAAAACTTGTAGCTAATTCTTCAAGAACAGGGGCAATGATTTTACACGGCCCACACCATGTTGCAAAGAAATCTACAACTACTAGTTTATCACCTGCATTTTTAAGTTGTTCGGTAAAATCGTTAGCATCTTTTACGTGGATTGACATATTGAAATTTATTTAGTATATCCTTTTCGAATTTTCAAAAAAAAATATGATTTTTCTCGATTAGCGCAATAGCGATAACTGTAGTTGGAATGTTAAGTGAATCTACTTTATAGTTCAACAATCAAAAGAAAAATGGCGTTTTTATGAAATCATTTCTCGATTAAATAGCAGTATTGCCAAACAATAAACGAATGAGATTCTGATTGGATAATTAATTGATGAGTCAAATATTTTCTAAATAAACGAGCTAATACGTGAAAACATTACACATAACTATGACTCTTTTTTTAATGATGAACTCATGATGACCAACCTGAGATAAATTTTAACTTATGAAAATCAGATGATAAAAGCTGTGTTTATGCTTGTGATATTAGCTTTGTAAAATGGATTATACCATTGCTAAAAAGATAGAAGAAGTGCCACATAATATGTATAAGCAATCACTATTTAAATCACAGATTAGAGATTACATCAAATAAATTTGGTGAAGCTTATAATGTGAAGAGGACTAATACCAATATTAATTCTTGTATCGAAACGTTTTTATGAAATGTGGTTTAATTTAACGTCTAAACGTCTCTGAATTTTTAAAAATAAAAGTGGTGCACCCATACTATATTGTTGTGTGTCTTATTGTAACACTGGAACTGTCAACATGTACACTGTAGTTCATTTCATTGGCCACATTCAGATTTAGTTCTACCATTAATTACAAGTTTTCATTTTCTTGCTAACTTCAACAATTCTTCTTCAAAATGATTTCAGTCAAAAAAGCATTGAAAAAACGGATGTAAAATTTTCAACAAAATTTTAATTGCCAAACGCCCTAACGGATTGTGACTTACAACATAACCGTACATAATAATGAAAAAATATTTTACTCTGAAATATTTTTGTTGTATACATGAAATCATTCTTTGTAACTGACAACCTAATGTGGAAACGAAAAAGTTTAACAATTTGATACAATTAGTATTATAACTAGATGTAAAAAAATATTTAATATTTTTAAAAAATATTTGTTTTTAAATTTTTGTATATAATTGTGTTTTTTAGTTCATTATTTTTTATACTTAAGTAATTAAATTAATATGTGGAAGAAAAAGTTTTTAATATTCATTACACCATTAGAATATAAAAAATAATTATACTCCTCCCTATATTAAAATTTTTAATATGTAAAAAATGTGTCAGTTGAGATTTTGTGCAAACGATGAGCGTAAATTTATATTAAAAATGTGTTAAAGCTTTTTTCAAAGTTGGTAGAAGTGATTAGATTTTTTGTTCTCGAAAAAATTTCGAAAGTCATTTAGAATCATAGTTTTATGACATTACAAATTATGCATTTTGTATTCAATTTTGAATACATAAATTTCGAGGCTCGATTGTGAAAGTCAAAATGATATGAAAAACAAAATATATATTCGAAAAAAATATGTACACAACACGGCAGCCGCACTTGTGCAGTAAAATGATAAAAAATTTCCCATATAATTAGTGTATTTTTGTTCCCCGGGTTGTTTGATAAAGTGTAAAGATTAAGTCGCGAAAATGTAATTCTAAAAGGATTTATTTGTGTTTCTGTAAAAGAATAGAACTCAAAAGAATACAATTGAAAATATTAAATAAATCATTTTTTGAGATTTAAAATACAGTGTTAAAATGACAAGGTATGTTAAATAATTTTTTTCTAAATAAATATGAATGTGATATATGTAAATAAATTCCATTAAAATTGTTTATAAGTACCAAATCTAAAATTCTGTATACATACACAATAATTTCGTAGAGAAAAATCGATCAATTTTCAACCAATCCCAAAAATACCATAAGCATGGCTAGTAGTCTTTCGTTTCTGTTCTGGTGAAAAAATTCAAAAAATAAAAAAAAAATGTTTTTAAAAATGAATATAACAATAAAAGTTTTTGTAAACAAAGTATTTCTATATATAAAATTTTAAAGTTGAAAAAAAAAATAATTATGAGTTAAGAATAAAAAAAGTGATGCAAAAAGTTTTTTATACAAAAACTAGAAACAAAATAAAAAGGTGGTAATTTGTTGAAAAATCGATAACCGGAGACATTTTTCTTTCGAAGAACATATTGACATTTTTGTCTAAGTTCTGTCTAAGTTTTTTGTTAAATTTTTATTTTACTTTTGCATACTTCAACAATTTGTGTGTAAAACTTCACAACGAATAAATATTAAAATAATAAAAATAAACAAAAATTTCCATTTCATTAAATTTTTAATACAAAATCTTCCAAACATACGTGCTGTGAATAAATTACATAAAAATACAGTTTGACCTAGCTGAATTAATCGCTATTAAAGCTATTTTACTGAACTTACTATCAGCAGTAGAGAATCATCAACTTTTTCCATTAGTTGCCCATTCAGTTTAGCCTGAGACTTCAAAGAAGATTGTTAACGAAAATATAAGCGAAGTGCAATTACGGAAGAAATTTTAAAAGAGACGGGGAAATTTTTTTTTATACATAATTTGCTTTTTTTTTTTTTTTTTTTGTTAACATTTTAAATATTCAATGTGGAGACCAAAAGAAATAAAAAATAAATTTACAAGTGAAAAAAAAAAATTAACAGAAAGTCATCAAGTATTCAAGTTTTCTACACTTTCTACAACTATTATTTTCATTTCGTTTATTATTCAGATTCCTGATTAAATGTGCATAACAGACGTTTTGTATATTGCATCTAATACGGATTGACAAAGAAAGTAGGTAATTAAATTGATAAAAATTAAATTAAAAATTTAATGAAAAAAGTGAAAAAACATTTGCTGTTATTTGCTAAGAAGTGTTTTCTTTTATTAATTTTTTTTCTTAGATTTAAACAAAAAATTAAATAAAATTACAAAACAATAAAATATAAAACAGAATAAATAAAAATATATAAAAATAACAAAATGCCTGCATTTCGGGGGAAGCGTGGTTGGTGTGGGTGCTTTCCAAATGACGAACCACTAGAAATATGTGTGGTTGAAGGGGCGTTCACTCTTCAAACATTTACTCCAACCCAACCAATGCCACCTCTTGAAGAATTAGATGCCAAATTTTCTGAATTAGTTGAAGAATTAGATTTAACAGCACCAAATAAAGCGGCAATGCTAAATTTACCACCGCAAAAAAAATGGCAAATATATTGTTCAAGAAAACAGCCAGTCGACACAGTTGATGGTAATTCCCATCCTATAACTGTACCACCAACACCAGAACAATATCTTGAACGTTTGAATGAAATAACAGAACATTTGAGTACAAATCCAGAGGATTCACCGTCACACGATTATAATGTTAAATTAGAAAATTATACCACATTTTTAGATGCACTTAAAACGGCATTACGTACATCAGCTCATAGTTTTGTTTTACGATTCATTGAGATTAAAGGATTACCAGCTTTATTAGAAATGTTAGAAAATATGAATATTCGTGTTATAAATACTTCATTACATACTAGTCTAATTGGCTGCATTAAAGCTCTTATGAATAATTCGACAGGCCGTGCTCATGTTTTATCACATCCTACCGGTATTGACATAATTGCACAATCATTAGCTGCCGATAATATAAAAACAAAAATAGCTGCATTAGAAATTCTTGGGGCTGTATGCTTAGTGCCTGGCGGTCATAAAAAAGTTTTAATAGCGATGCTAAATTTTCAAAAATTTGCTGCTGAAAGAGCAAGATTTCAAGGTATAATAAACGACCTAGATCGTTCAACAGGAGCATACCGCGATGACGTTAATTTAAAAACAGCAATAATGTCATTTATAAACGCAGTATTGAATTACGGACCAGGACAAGAAAATTTAGAATTTCGTTTACATTTACGTTACGAATTTTTAATGCTCGGAATACAGCCAGTTATAGATAAGTTACGTAAACATGAAAATGAGACCTTAGATCGCCATTTGGATTTTTTTGAAATGGTACGCAATGAAGATGAAAGAGAACTTGCAAGAAAATTCGACCAAGAACATGTTGACACCAAAAGTGCTACTGCAATGTTCGACTTATTGCGAAAAAAATTGAGTCATTCGCCAGCATACCCACATTTATTATCATTGTTTCAACATATGCTACTGTTACCATATACAGGTAGATGTAATCAATACTGGCTATTGTTTGATAGAGTTGTACAACAAATAGTTCTTCAAACTGAAACGGAATCACAAAAAAGCTTTAATAACGAAGATAAAGATACAAATAGTAGCAAAGGAAGTAATGATCGTATTCATGATAATGATGTTGAACCTTTACAAATAAATGTTTCTGAGATTGTTAAACTTTTAGTAAAGGAGGAAGAACTTACAGCTGCAAGGGATCGGGCTGAAGAACTTGAACGTGAAAACTCTGAAATATATACAAAATTAACTAAAAAAGAACAGGAACTTGATTTACGTCTGCAAGAAAAGGAAGATTTAGAAACTAGTCTAGCTAGAATGCGTGAACGTTTGGAAAAAGAAAGTAATAACCATTCTCAAACCGCGCAACGTGTTGTAAATGCCGAAATGAAGATTGAAGAACTGCAACATCGCTTAGCAAATGAGCAGCAAGAACGTACTCGTCTTGAGCGCATGGTCACAGAAGGAAATATACCAGATGATCAAAAAGTTGCAGGACTCAAAGGTAACACAATCAATAATACTGAAGTCAAGTCTCCACCGATCCCTCCTCCACCAGCACCAGGCTTGACTTCTTCATTTATAGCTGTTCCTCCACCGCCACCACCATGCCCCAAGGCTCCGCCACCACCAATGTTCACAATGGCTCCGCCAGCAGCTCCCAAAACTGACGCGAAACTAAAAAATGTTCCACAGCCAACTAATCCACTAAAAAGCTTTAATTGGTCAAAATTACCTGACGCTAAAGTACAGGGCACAGTGTGGAGTGAGCTCGACGAATCAAAGTGGTACAATACCATGGAATTAGAGTCGATTGACAAGTTATTTTGTGCTTATCAAAAAAATGTAGTAAACGACGGGTCCGTTGAAGATTTACCATTAGTTGGTAAACAAAGATCTAAAATTCTATCAATAATCGATGGCAGAAGAGCTCAAAATTGTACAATCCTATTGAGTAAATTGAAAATGAGTGATGAAGAAATATGTCGGGCTATATTATCAATGGATGCTGATGAGAAATTACCAATTGATATGGTTGAACAGTTATTAAAATTTACACCTTCGCCAGAAGAAAGAACGCTTCTTGATGAGCATAGCGAAGAAATTGAATCATTAGCACGGGCAGATCGCTTTTTATATGAAATATCAAAAATTCCACATTATGAGCAGCGCTTAAAAAATCTTCATTACAAAAAGAAGTTTATGATAACTGTAAACGACTTAATTCCACGCATTAATTCAGTAATGGAGGCCTCACGTGAAATTGCTAGATCACGAAAATTACGTAAATTGCTGGAACTTGTGTTAGCACTTGGAAATTATATGAATCGTGGTTCACGTGGTAATGCTTCTGGTTTCCGTTTAGCATCTTTAAATCGGTTAGCTGATACCAAATCAAATTTAATTAAAGGAACGACGTTATTACATTATTTAGTTCAAGTAATTGAAAAGAAATTCACAGATTTACTAAAATTAGAAGAAGATTTACCGCATGTTCGTGAAGCATCTAAAGTATCTTTAGGAGAAATGGAAAAAGATATTTCAGTTCTACGTACCGGTTTAGCAGATGTATCACGTGAAATTGAATTCCATAGAAGTGCCGGACCAGCACAACCAGGTGATCGATTTTTACCAGTTATGAGAGAATTTCATGCTCAAGCGTCAGTACGATTTTCTGAATTGGAAGATCAATTTCAAGATATGAAAACACGATTTGACCGAGCTGTACGATTATTTGGAGAAGACGGTTCAGTTGTTCAACCTGAAGAATTCTTTGGTATTTTTGATTCCTTTTTAGTAGCTTTTTATGAAGCAAAACATGATAATGATGCAATAAGAAAACGTCAGGAGGAAGAAGAAAAACGCGCTAAACAAGAAGCTGAACTCAAAAAACGTACAATAGAAAGAAAAAATAAAGAAGGATTAATGTCATCTGTTGCACGAAATTTAGGTTTAAAGAAAGATTCATCCGATAATCATCATAACGAGCGTCATGATGGTAATAAAGGTGAATTCGATGATTTAATATCAGCACTAAGAACTGGTGATGTTTTTGGTGAAGATATGGCTAAATTCAAAAGATCAAGAAAAACTCATGGTAATATACAAAATTCAAATCGTGATGAAAGCAGAGAAAGAACTTCCAGAAAATAAAATATGTATATGTACTTATAATGGAATAATAATTTTAAATTTTAACGCTAGGATAAATTTATTTTAATTTTTTTTATATGCATATTAGTAGTCTAAACAAGAATTTTTTATAATAGAAAACGCCAAGTATTTACCAATAAGATTATTTTTTCAAATCATGTTGTACATCGATAATTCTTAATTTATCATGGTAATCATTTTGTTTTATAGAATTAAAACTGTGCTCGCATTTTTTAAGAATTAAAGTTGTTTTTGAAATTGACTTATGTAATAGAAAACAACACTTTTTTTGTCTTAATAATTTTAATTGAAAGTTTAATTTTTACTTAAATATAATTAAAAAAAAAAGTGCACTGCAAACAAGATACAAGTTTTGTTTTTTATCCAACTTGGAATATTTATCAAAGTTTTTGTTACCATGATATTATTTTGAAAAGAAAAGTGATTGATTTGTGTCGATTATTTAGCAATTTTAAAAAAATTTATAAATTATTGTTCAAAAAGTTTACATTTAAGAAATAAAGTGTTCCATTTATAAATATTATATAAAATATAAATATATAATTTTATATATGCATGTATTTCAAATAGAAAAATAACAAGAAAATAAAATTTAAAATATTTTTTTAAATTGCTAATATCAATGTAGGCATGAAAATAGCCATGGAAAAAATTGCAATTGTGCTATAAAAAGTATCAAATGATTTTAAGAATCAATTAAGTGTTTGAGCTTTACAAAATTTATATTAAAATTATATTATGCAAGTTTATTTTCTAAGTATTGTACTAATTTACATTTTATTAAGAATTTCAATTACCGAGAATATTTTTCAATTGAAAAATTTTTGTATGATTCATTAATTAATGGTAGAAAAAATAATAGACTATTTAATTTTAATTAATAAAGATATTGCATTACCATTTCAAAAATGAATCTACATTCATTTGAATTAAATTAATAAAATTTGTAATAGAGTACTAAGTGCTGCTTAGTAATTCCTTTCATATTTTGATAAGAACTTTTTTTTTAAATTCAATTAATTATTATATTAATTATTTTAAACTAAGGAATTTTGGATTTTAATATTTTACATAGCTAAATATCGAAATTTTGATCACTTTTCTTTTAATTTCTAATTGAAAACAACAAAAAAAAAAAATAATAATTTAAGAAAAAAAATATTCACTAGTCTCTTGAAAATGAAATTTCAAATATTTATATGAAAAACAGAAGCAAATGCATCAAATTTAATTTGAAAAATGTAATAAATATAAAATTATTATTAAGAAAATATTTAACATTTAAAATGAATTTGTTCATTGTTAATTATTTGTTCTGATTTTAAAAAAGAATTTAAATTGCATTTATTAAATATTTTTTATAGTTGTAAGTATATTTTAATATTTTTCATAAATTTTTTTTTTTAAAAGTTCAATAATTTAATAATTTTAATATAAAAAATTGAATATAGTAAAAATTTATTTTAAATAAGTACATGTAAGTACTAATAATCTCAAATTTTTTATTAAATTCATCAATTTTCAAAATCAGATTTCATTGCATATTCAGTATAATTTTAATTATTCATTTAAAGTTTTTTGTGTGTAATTAAATTAAATAAATAAACTGTTTTCAATATATTTTGGATATAATTATTGTCATTTAAATTTCATTTTTAAAATATTTACATTCTGATACATGCATATATATAAGTAATGTTCAAAGCAAAATTCTACAATCATTTTATTAGAAAAAGAAAAGAACAATTTGTATTTTTTGAATAGTATTTTTATATTAAGTATAATTAATTGTAACATTTTTTATAATAGATCGTGATGAACATTATTTAATAAATTTTATTTTTAATATTTTTCTTACCAATTTTTCTTAAACATAGTAAAATAATTAATTTTTATTAATTAAATTTCTATCTTACTATAATTTCAATAACAATTTTCTGTTATTAAAATTTTTTTTTCAATAATTCATGTTTAAATATCCTATGCTTGTATGGGATTATAATAGATCATAGTTATGAATAAATTTTCTAGGAAATTACATAGTAAAAATATTATTAAATGTGAGCTTATATGATAAAATTACAATTTGATACAAAAGAAAAAAAAAAATTAATACAAAAAAAAAAATAATTGTATGAATTTTATAGAAAATTTTCGGAAAAAAACAAATACATATAGAAAAAATTTACATTTTAGGAATTTACATTAGTAATACAAAAAAAAAAAAACAAAAACGAATAGCTATTCAAATAAAAATTTATTTTAATTTTTTGGATATCTCTTACATTTTCTCAATTTAGGTATTAATTAACATTTTCAAAAAAATAGATTTTGTTTGCTTTTTATTATTTTACAATCTTAATGAACTATTCAAAATAATATTTAAAAATTTGTGCTCAATTACATACCTTAATTTCTAATATTTGGTTATTACCAGTAAAATTGCATTTTTAATTGAAAGTTTGACTAAAAATTTTATTTTTAAACTTTTGTTTTCCTATTAAAGAAATTTCTTTTTATGAAATGATGTTTGCTATCAACGACAATGAAAATAAAAGTAAAGTAACAAAAATAATAAAAGACTGTTCAGAAGCTACGATTTTTTCCTTTTTAACTTTATAAACAATTTTTTGATGTGAAATAGATATTAGACGGTTTGATAAAAAAATTACAAATTTTTTGACCAATTTAAATTAAATATTTAATGAAAGTAAATTCAGAAAAATTTTGAAAGACTAAAAAAAAAAAAACAAAAGAGAAACAACAATGAAAAGTAAGAAAATGTTCAAAATTTTTTTTACAATCAACAAAAAATTAATAATTTTAAAAATTGAAAAATAATTATAATAAACGTGTATTTAAAACATAATTTTATAATTTAATACAATATAATTTTAAAATATAAATTTATAATTTAATGAAAATAAAAAATTGTATGCATTTTAAACATATGTGGTAAAAATAAAAAATTACATAATATTTTTTAAGAAAAACGAATGAAACAATTAATTTAGTGGCCATATAATTTTTTGTGTTAAAAATTTAACAATATTGTACAATTTATTTTATAAAAACTTATAATATGCTATAAAAGTATAAAATATATAAGTATAATGTGTTAGTAATTTAATGTACAAAAAGAGAGAACAAGTATATACCAAGAAATTTTTATAACATCTTATTTAAATCCTGTAAATTTTTGTTAAATGAGAAAGTTTTACTTTTTGTTTAATAAAAATTTCTATTTCTATCATAATTTTTTTTTTACTTATTGGTTGATATTAAAAGAAAATCAAATTTAAATTTTCTTAATTTGAATTTATTAGTTTTTAATAATAATAATATTTCCCGGAAATTATTTTTTCTACATAATTGCAGCGTATTAAATGTTACGCTGTGAAAACAACATTTATTTTATTTTTTATTTCTCATTTTTTATAATTATTTCAAATGTAAGAATTTGTTATATTATGTCTTAAGTTGTACTTTATAATTTTTTGTACTATTTTTAATATAGATTCAGATTCACATTATATCTAAATTTCTATTCGTAATATTTAAAATATTTTTTCAAATTGATTTCAGTCATTTCAATATTCTTAAAAAATTTAATAAGTTAAGTGGTGAGAGTTGGATATAATTTCAAAATATTAAATAATCAAATTAAAAATTAAACTTGTTATGTTTTAGATTTGTTGATTCTTCAATACGAAAACTGTTAGGTATAAAATTTGACAACATTTTGCATATCAACTTATTTGTTTTTTTTTTTCTTTAAATTTAAATTATTGTAAATTGATACTTATAGAAAATAATATAGTCTTCACAAGTGAAAATTTGATGAATATTTCACTCTTATAGATATTCTTATATATTCAAAAAAAGAATCTTTTTTGTTTCAAGTATTCAATATTTGTAAATTTATTAATTTGGTTTTCATTTTACTTTTTCGTCTATAATCTCTTATTAATTAAAATTATTTATGAGTGTGCATTTAGTATTTAACAAAAATTCTTATAAAATTTAAGTTAACTTAAAAAAAAATTTTATTCTATTTATAAGCAATATAATTAATTTTAATTAAATTAAAAAAAATTTATAAGAATGTACATGAATTTGTCTGCTTATTTATAATTATATAGCAATGCAAAGCAAAATACAATAAAACAGCATTTAACCATATTTAAAAAAAAACAATTTGTTTATAATATTTTATTTAATATTTATTTATACGAGTATATAGCTGCTTTTAAAATTATAAATTTAAGTATTAAATTATTTAATTTATTTATTTCTCTTATAAAATATATTTATAAAACAATAAATTATTATATAAGAAACTTTCCGTTTTATTTCGAACAATAAATTAAAATAAACAGGGAATAAGAAAAATTGAAGTATAAAACAGATATTTAAATAAAATATTTTAAAAAAAAAAAACAAAAACGTAAAACAAAATAAAAAATGTATTGAGAAAAAATCTGTTAAGTTTAATAATAAATAAAAAAATAATAAAATAAATGATTAAAAGTTTTAAAAAAGAAAAAAATTTTATTAATTGTATTAACAAAACAAACAAAATACAAAAAAATTATATAAAATTTTTTATAATTTTCTTATTTTTTACTAAATTTTATTCAATTGTATTCACTTAACCTATATTCTTTCTTTTTAATTATCATAAATTTAATTATGTATTTTAAACAAAGTTAAACAAAAAAAAAAAAACAAAAGAAAAATTTGAAAAAACAAGAACCTTATATTATACAAATAAATATAATACGTGAAAATAAAAATAAAAAAATAATATTTAAAGTTTGTTTCATTAAATTTTTTGGGTAAGAAAAAAAAAAATTGTAGAATTTATTTGGTCGATTATTTCACTCATGTTTGCAGGCTAAAACTCTGGGTTTTTCGTTTATGCACCCTGTGCTGAAAGTTCTATATTAGAACTAAAATTTCTAAGTCGCAGCGTTAAACGGTATGCCAAAACTTTATCTAAGTTTTTTTTTTGTTTACGCAGTCTACAAATTCTGAAATTTCTAAATAATCAGTCGTTGAAAAATAACAGAAATGACATTGTTTATAAAATTGTATGCCTTCCAATTTGCTGCAAAACAAGTAAATTTTAACAAGAATTGAAGACTTTAAGAAAACTTACATTAATAATCCTTCAATATCTGAATCTGCCATTTTG